ACCAAACCTGCATCTGCATGGATTCCTTCACGCGCGGGGGCACGTGGATGTCCTTGATCTCGTAGCGCAGGCACCGGATGCCCCAGCAGTCTGACGCCTGGTTGATGGCATCCACAATGTTGGCGTTGAGGGACTCCCGCTCCTGGGAGACACAAAAGGAGCGGCAGAGAGCAACGAGGCGCTTAGCACGAGAGAGGGGTCAGGAGGGAAACAGACACCTCCCCATCATGGGCCAAGGTCGGCCAAAAAAAAAAAAAAACCACCAAAAAACCCCCCACCGCGCCAAAAACAAGACCCGTCTCCAAGGATTCACTAATAGGTCAACCGAAACAGAAGCCGAAAGCCCTCCAAGCAGAAGGCGTTCTGCTGTTAAGCGTTACCAGCCTGGCCGTGCAGACTGCCCCAGGGTTTTGAGGGGCGCTGGCAGCTCGGTGAGCCACCTCCCCAGCTCACCCGGAAGACTCTGTCGAGGGAGAGCTTGCCAAGCTCAGATCTCATGGTGGTCTGGGCCAGCTGGGTCACCGCGTACTCGGGATCTTCCACCCCATAGCTGGCCTGCAGAGAAGAAGTGAAAAACAGAGTCCACGGCAGTGCCAAGAGGAACCCCCAGCAAGGCAGGGCGGGCAAACACAGAGACGAGAAACCTGCCGCAGACACCCCTGCCAAAGAAAAGCGGAGTCCAGAGCCTCGGGAGGGATCGGGGCGCTCAGCCCACCCGCCTCGCAGGCCGCAGCAAGCCGGGCAGAGGCTGAAGCGCGCGTTGTGGGGAGAAGGTGGCCAGCGGAGCCAGGCGAGCGATGCCCAAGGGGCTGCCACGGCGGCCAGCTGAGCAGCGCGGCACACGCAGACCGTGCTGGGCGCAGCCATGGAGGCTACGCGTTTGGCTCAGGCCGAGTGCCGGCGCAGCAGGGACGGTACCTTGTAGGGGTCCATGACCCGCAGATAGAGCACACCGTCAATCTGCAGGGTGACGTTATCTGCCGGGAGAGAACAACGCGTCCTGTTTACTGAAGCAGCAAAGACAAAATATGGCAACCCCCTCTCCCCCAACAGAGCTAGCAGGGCTGGGCAGGGTCATCCCTTTCCTTCCTGGTGTCAGCAGCGTGGCACGGAAGAGGGATCGGCTGGAACGGATCTCCTTATCTAAAAGGCTTTGTAAAAAGGACCTTGATCTTCCCTAGGAAATACTTTTTTTTGTTGTCTTAATACACAAGAAGTCTCAGGTTTCCAGACCAAAACGTTTCATGCTGTAGTTATCTTCATAAATAAAGATTTTCAAGGGGCAAAAAACCCCAACCCAAACCAAAGCACTTAATACTAGAACCGTAACAAAGCCGCCCATTAACCTGGTCTGAAATTTTTTACAGAAAGCCAGAGGAGACTTTTTTGTGGTTCAACACGGGAAAACGTCTGAAAAAGGGATACCTGCCCAGATGCGTTCAACCCAGCCAGAAGGGGCAGCCGCAGCCCCGAGAGGGCAGACGGGACCTCCTGGGGTTCTCCCGCCCACAGCGCCAGGAGCACGGCCAAGCCCGGGTCCCCAGGGACAGGGCTGAGTGCAGGAGCCTGGGACATTTCCACTCCTCCCCGCGCCGCCCCTTGCTCGCCCCGGACGCAGGGGAAGGAAAGGGGCAGGACGCAGAAGCTGCTTCTTACCTAAGGTGACAGCTGACTGCTCTGGGACGTTAATGACGATTTCTTTGAGACTCTGCACGTAACGAATCCGATCCAGCAGAGGGATGAGGAAGTTCAAACCCTGGGAAAAGGGTGGGATTAGGTGACTGAGTCCTCTAACATGGGGTTTTCCCCCCCAGAGAGCTCAGCCAGGCTAGAGAGAGCTGTGCCAACAAAGAGCAAGTATGCTACGCGCCGCAGATGCTGCAGGCAGAGCAAACGTGCTTTACGCATGGGGGGAATTTAGGTTTCTCGGTGCTTTTAACACCCCACCAAGGGAAACTAGTCCACAGGCAGTCAATTGGATTGCAATCCGCAAGAACAAGCCCACTGCTCCCCGAATCCTCACGCAAAGGACGCGCCTCACTACAGCTTTAGGAACCTGCTGAATCCAGAAGGGGAGAAAAGCGGCTCCTTACAGGCTCGAGGATTCGGTGGAACTTGCCCATCCTCTCCACCACCCAAGCCTCCTGCTGCGGCACGAAGAGCACCCCGATATTCATGGGCAGGCCGGAGTTCAGGCGGCACGGCGCCGGGGCCAGCCACGCTGAATGCTTCAGCTGCTGGGAGCGCTGGGGAAAGGAAAAGGAACGGGATGGAGACCGGCTGCCGCCACCTCGGAGCCCAGCACCATCCCTGCTCTCCCATCTGGGATGGCTGCTCGCGGCCCCGATACACCAGGGCAGGGAACAGCACTGACGCCCCGAACCAGCCCAGGCCATGAGGGGACACGGGCTGTCCCCGCAGGGGTGAGACCTGGGCCTCAGGGCCGGCGCGAGTGTCAGGGCCTTCCCCGCGAGTGTAGGGCGGCTCACCCCCGTGCTGGGGCTTTCTCCACGTCTCCCCTTCCCTCACATCCCCACTGGGGGGAAGGAATAAAGCCTCTCCCTCCCCCCGACACCGTGAGGGAAAGGAAGGTGCGTGCGGGGGGGATCTCCTCTGCCCCACTCAGCCCCCTGTAAGCCGGTCAGGCCCCCTCCTCCTGCCCCTCTTCCTCGCCCC